ATGAATACTGTATTCCATTTCTGACAATACATTCTCCTAAATATTACACACTGGACCTTTAGGCTAAGCTAAATTACTGCTGGCTCCAGCTACATGTGTACATACATGATTATATCTCATTTGTTTAATCTGTACTTAAGTATCAAGATTCAAATCACTGTTCCTTGTCAAGACATAGTCACATTACCTTGCAAATTATGGTTTTAACACGGATTTTGAACAGATTAAACATGTTAGGTAGTGAGCTTAAGAGATGCTGTTAGGATGATTTTGTTACCCCTCGCATTTCAGGTATTTATGCTAAGATAAGCTAACTGGCAGTGTCAATCTTCTACTCTGAATCTTTCCCAAAATGTTGATCTACTCTATAATCCTCCTTTGTTTTTCCTCCTCTTGTCTATTTGACACAGTCTTTCTATCTATCTCCGTCTCATGTGTCACTTTAATATTGATAGGCTCTTTGAGCCAGGGGCAGAAACTTAAGACCTGATTAACACAAAGTACACCACTATTACCCGTTGGCTCTTCTGTTCACCGTACCTCCTCACATGCTATAGAATTTTTCCACACGTGAACTTCTCACAGTAGCATTACACCGTGTTCACTATAGGGAACTTGACTTTTGATCCCACAGGGCTGCCACTGTCAGATTAAGGTTTAGGGGTTGAAGCGGTTGTTAAATGCTGACCCTAGATCAGTGTACGCAGCTCTTTTCTAATGTATAGCCTACCACTGGCAAGGCTATGACTAACCTGGCTGAATCACAAGCACAGGAAGCCATAGCCTATTTGGTAGATCCTTTTGAATTTCTTTTGGGGGATTTAAAAATATGAATCAAGGGGATTTGACACTTAAAAGTTGAACATGGTGGTACAACTCAAATATTCACGCAAGGTTGTTAATCCACTTTTCAAATGGAATTATTAATAGACCATTTTAGAATAGACTCTGTAGATGCCTACGAGCAGTTCTATCTTCCAGCTGTGTTACATAAAATATAATGAATTCAGCATCTAGGATACCAGGGGGAGAGAGAGGGAGCGCAAGAGAGGAGAGATAACTTATTTTAGAGCATGACTGCTTTATAATGAGGCCCTCAGTACAGACAGATAAACATAGCAGATTTCGTCTGCTTTGGTATTTTGTTGTTTATCATGTACGATCTTGAATCTAAACATCTAATGATTGAATATTTTACACAAACATCTTAACGGCAACCAGCCCTGGAGCTACAGAGCCAAAGCACCCTCTAGTGACAGGTTTTGGTTCTATGCATGATTTAACACACAAGCTTAGCTTACTTCAACTTACAATTTATTTGGAACACTTTATTAAGGTCAAACATTTTCAGATTTTACAGCAATTTGACCTTAGAATAGTGGAAATATTTATTAACGTAGGACATTCACTAGTCTGTAAACAGTTTTTTTTGTTTCAGAGATTTCAAACTAAATTAACAGTATCAAAGCAGATAATGACAAAAATAACTGTGATCATACTTTCTGTATAAAATATAAGGGACATCATTTATTCCATTAGACTTTAATTCCAAGAGGGCTGACATGTCTGTACCTGAATACTGTATCTGCCACCTCATGTCTAGCACATTTTAGGCAAAGACAAATAAAATACATTCACATTTGTCAAGAGTTTCAAGGTCCTATCTGGTTGTTTAAGGGCCCTGAGTCACACTGCTGTGGTGCTGCTCTACCATATGTAAGATGCTGTCTGATAGTCCTTTAATGTCGCTGTGTGTGTCGGGATGTGCAGCCAAATTCTTCAGAAGTTCAGTCACGCCCTCCTTCTCCAGCATGCTGCTGTAATGTGAAACTAGAGGATAGAGAGAAGTTATAAGAACATGAGAGAGGAATGGAAGCTAACAGTGATTGACCCAACCAGCACATGAATATTAATACTGCTGATAAAATCTATATGAATCTATTTAACATTACACATGGTGCAATATTTGTAGCAAATCTGAAATGATGAACAATATATAACGATCAGCTCAATTTGACATCAGAATGAATAGTATATAGTGTAGGGCTGCAACTAATGATTAGTTTCACTATCGATTAAACTGCAGATTACTTGTCTTGTTTTGTCTGAAAATATTCAGTTTAATATGATATAAACAGAGAAAAAAAGGAGATCTCCATATTTAAGAGGCTCAAAACAGCATTTATTTTGCTATTTTTATTTGAATACATTAACAATTAATAGATTATCAAAATAGTTTATTTATTATTAGTTTATTATCTGTTGATCGCCTAATTGATTTGTCAACTTTGATTATTTCTCTGTTGATCAACTAATTGATCTAGTACTGTAATACACACAATTCTGTAAGACAAATTGATCTAAATATGCTGACCTCTACAAATCCAACCATGTGCTTCCCACAGTAGTCTGTTTGTGTGTCTTACTGTTTTGACTGCAGACCAGATGTATGGCCCAGACTGCCCACAGCTGCACTCCTGAGGGCTGACAAGTCTGAAGCAGAGGGCAAAATGGATGGAAAGACCTGAAATGTGGACACAAGCAGACAGAGATATATATAAAAAAAACTTCTAGTGATTCTGAACCTCTTCTGGTTGGTTTAAGTTTGAATTACCATTTGCTTTGGCATGGATGCTAACCATGGAATGTGAACTGAAGTGTTACTCACAGAAAATTATTTTCAATACAGTTTTAAAAATTTTCCAACGTTTGTCTGAGGTTTACACTCTGGTATTCTGTCCCTATATGGCCCCTCAGCAGATATCCAAATAAATTACAATACAGGTTATTACAATTGTGTTAAAAGTTCACATTGTTTCAAACCATGCACACATTGTATACATTAAATCAGCAACAAACAAAATGCTATGTAAGAGACGATTTAAGATGAGTTATTGAGGGGAACAATTGTGTTATATAACATGAAGCTAACATTTAATGTTGAACTGAACAGACAGGGTTAGTAACTATGCAAGTGCAATTAATAGAGTGCAGATCACTGCCAGGTGTGTCTGAGGGCTTGTGGGTGAGGAGCTACTTCCAAAAATGTGTCCAGTTTGTGTTTCTCTCACCTGTACGAGACCATTTCTCTCTCCAGTTGGGGCCACGTTATTATGGAAGCATGCTGCAAAGAAAGAAAGATACTTTGAAATAAGCTGAAGGGGAATTTCTGTTAACCAGCAAAACAGTCGCCTCTCTCACACACCAGCTGCTTCAGTATGGTGCTGCGTAGCTCGTCGCCTAGGGTCCAAGCCTCTGGTCTAGAGGCAAGCTGTGCCAGAATCCCCCCTGCAAAGTAACGGACCCCAACCTCCACCTGGGAGTCTTGCAGCAGGCTGAGGATGTGCTCCAGCAGGTCCTCCTCCAGCAGGTCCGCCTGTAACACCTCCACCTCCGCTATATTGTTCTGCAACACAGCGAGACACAATTAATAGCAGTGATAGTAATGTTGACAGAAAGGTGTTAGGACCAGAGGGGATACAGGCATTGTCTTATGCCAGAATGCCTACAAATGGATTTAATTGTATTCCTATTGGTCAAATAATTTTAAACACTTGGGGGCAATAAAATGTTTTACAGAGCGTTTTCAGATGCTGCCTGATGTCACAGCATTAAACCCTGAATGTGGGAATAATTGCAAAAAGAAAATGAGAATAAGCTATAAACACGCAGACCCGTGGCACACATGGAACAAAAACACACACGCTAACCCACCAGGAGGCCAAGAAGTTTCTGCTGAATGGAAGGTTCACCATAGTATGACTGCAACACAGAAAAGGGGACAGCATAATTGTTTGTGTGTATCATTCATGTATTAACGTGTCTGTCAGTGTATTTTTGGGGCTCCTGTACCTCCAGAACCTCCTCGTACAGCTCCAGGCCCTGGCACTCGATGAAATTGCGAGCAGCGGTGGGCATTTCATCTGTCAGATTCCACAGAGCACTCAGGGCAAACTTCAGAGTGGAGTCCACCACTCCCACCATGGCTTTCTGCTGCACAATAGCCAGCAGCTGCTGTGAGACAGAGGGACGAGAAGATGGGGTGTAAGACAGCCAAAAAGACCGAATATCAGATTTTGTAAATACATTTATGCAGGAAACATCCTTCGGTAGTATTAAATTCAACTGTTGGATAAACTTGTTTACATAATAGTAAGTGACACCAGACATACAATAACAAAAATAACTAAAGCGTAGAGAGAAGCTTGATTACATACACAAAGAGAGAAATAGAGAGGTGAATGAATAATGGAGTAACAGTAAACCGAGAAGAGTGCACGGAGCAATGTGGTGACAGTGACAGTGAGTGTATACAGTGGGTAGGTAATGGAAAATATAGGAAGTGAGAAAGAGAGAGAGAGAACTAGAAATACACTCCTGCATATCTGGTGCTAAGCCGAGGCAGCATTGTGTAAGTTGGAAAATAAACTCTAAAAGTGTAAATGTACCTTCATGATAAAGACATCCTTGCTGAGCTGAGCGGTCTCCTCTGTGGACAGCTGCAAATTAAACAAATAGATCAATGCTTCTTTGAATTCAAACCATTTTCCTAAATGTCAAACTAGAACAAACAGTGCTTTTATCACACAGGGAAATTTACCCCACTTAAGTGGACTACATGAAAGCACATGAAAGCTGGCAGTTGAAACTAGTGTCACAGAGGTGCAGGAGGTGACTGAGCCACAGGCTCTTAACAGGCAGAACTGACAGGTGCCATACTATTTTCCTGCAGCACACTAATGCACAGTAAGTGAGTGGTGTCTTGACCTTGGCCACCAGAATGGAGATGACAGCCACAGCCATCCTCTGAAGGGTAGGATCCTCGTGGCTGCTCAGCCAGTTAATCACCAGCATGGCTGCTAAATACCTGAACCATGATCACAGCGTGGATATA